ACATATGTATAGGATCTGTCAATAATCGTGTCTGGGTCAGGATAATTCTCCAAAAAGTGAATTGCTTAGTGAGGTCCTCAATTCTTTCAGACCTTTGAGCCTGACTATACCTTGATGTGGCTATTTCTTATAATAGCTGAAATATACTGCAATAGCTGTAACGAAAGCTGTGCTATCATGGAAGAGATTGGGAGAAGATATCCTAAACTGGCACAGCTAAAAGTGATTTTAGAACGCGATTGGCCGAATCTCTTCATTTTACAGCTGAGGAAACTGAGAGCCAGGAAGGTCTTAGAACCCTCTCAAGGTCATGCCACTAGCTAAATTCTGGATCCTAGGTCTCCTTCCCTTTAGGCCAAAGCCTCTTTGTTTAACGCAAACCTGCAGAATAGTTTCAAGATGGCCAGGCAGGGAGACAGTGCCATCCATCTTAAAAATCATGCTGGCTTCTGCCAGCTGATGAAGGAAATAAAGTTAATGACGCCCACATAAATGTGATGCTGTCGCAGGACGCACGCACAGGCTGCCTGGAGGGGAGCTCTGTGGGTCCTCTGAAGAATGAAAAAATGATTTTAATGTACCTTTAAAGGGAGCAGTGTCTCCCCTTTCTGCAAGGACAGGGACTGTGGCATCTGTCCCTGCAGAGTGCTTAGTTTTAGACTGAACACATAAGCACATGATAAACAAGTTCCTAGTGAAGAAATGAAGGCAGCGTCACCACCTGTCAATTCATCCTGAAGCTTTGTGGGTATGGACCCCTGCCTTTGATAAAGATCTTATCAGGGGCTGGAGAGAGCGTAGAAGTGTCAGATTCAGTCATTTGAGTTGATTGGTAAGAAAATTGAGTCCCCATTAGAGGGAGAGACTTGTTATGCCCATGCTGTGGGATGGAAGCAAAGCTGACTCTAGAGGCAGGAGTTCTCAATTTATAGCCCAACTTCTCTTTCCACTGCACCATGGACATGGCCGTAACCTCTTTCATAAGGCAATCTAAAGAAAACAATTTCCTAAATATCCTCTGCTTAGGTCATTACCAGTTTGGCAAATATACAGAAGTCATGTGCTGATTCATAACTCCACTTACCAGCCTAGGGTCCCTGTCCCACCTGTCCTTCAGGAGCAAAATCACAACATTTTCTTTTCTGTTTTTTAAGGTTCCTAAGCCCATAAAGGGAGTAGACTAATTGGCAATTCGATGCTTATACAAACTTGCCCAAGGGACTTCATTCGTTGGGGAAAAGTCCTTGGGCCATGTCAGAAACTCCTAGACAAGTTCTGCAGTGCCAAAATGCAGCAGGTAAGATTCAAGGTAGAGTACAGCTGTCTTTCCAGAAGGGAAAAATCAAGACAGTCATCTGCCCTTCTTGACAAGCCTGGAGATGGAGAAGCCACAGGGGCTACCTCAAGGAAAAACCCATTCACCTTTCAACTGGGTAGGTTTTTTCTTTAGGACTGAGATATGAAACAATGTATTTGTCATTTTCCTTTTGATCCTAATGTGGATAGAAACATTTTCCCTTCAAGGTTTTGATGACCTTTGTTAGCAGCTGAGTGGCATATTCAGTACAAAATCCAGTGCAAGGAAGCACCTACTGGGATGGAAGAGGGAAGTAGCACATTAAAGAAAAGTTGCTCATCTTTTGGGAAAACCACCCAGGGATTAGATCTGGTTCATCTCCCTGCCTTTATTCCCTTCTCAAGCACATGCTAGGTCCCTTTTTGTTTCATCAGGGTGCTTTGTGTATTTCATGGGGGGCATTTTCTCAAGGAAGCTAGACTTTCCTCCCCATTATAATTAGTACATTGGAGCAGCTGATTAAAAATTTGGTCATTCTGTACTGTGGTTTGAAACCTTGGACAATTTTGTCTCCCCTCTGCCCAGGATGTATATTTGGCAATGTCTGGAGACATTTTTTGATGGTCATGACTCAGGGAGGTAGTGCTACTAGCAGCAGGGATGCTGCTAAACATCCAACAATGCCCAGGACAACTTCCATAACAAATAATTATCCAGTTCAAAGTGCCAGTAGTGCAGAGCTTGAGAAACATGGGTCTGTTTGAGTTGCTCAGAAGGCAAGAGAATTTTGGGGTCATACTGGGCCTACCCCAGCCATAAGCCTCTGTAAGGGCTCTGGGGATCAAAGCCAAGTTCCCTTTGGCTTGAAAGGACATTTGAAAGAAATGTGCTTCTACCATTAAAAAAATTTGCCTATTATTTTTGACCAGTCTGGATATACGGCCCCATTCTCAACTGAAAATAAGGGAAAATATTTAGGTTATTGACTCTCAGAATGCCAATTACAGAATTTTAGAATCATAGGTTTAAAAAATATCAGATCAGGAACTACAGCCAAATCGCCCGATCTTACTTATGAAGACACAGTTGATGAGCATACAATGTTTTTTGTCTTCCAGGACCCCATGTCTCCCTTTCTAAGACCTTAGTTCCTCCTCTGTGTTGGTACCATATGGGATTTCTGCCTCACTCACTTGATTTTTGTTTTTGTTTTTGTTTTGTTTTGCTGTTGTTATTGCCGTTTCGCTGATTATGTGCTGATGCAGCATGTCTATTATTGAGAGCCTTTCCTAGCCCCCGATTTCCCCAACAAGGTGAGCAGCTGGCATCACTTATTCTAAGGAGTACCTGAGAGCCTGAGATGATTGGATTGGCCTTCCAACACACCATCTATCCCCTGGGGAAGAAGGGGTTATTCAAATGGAACCTGCTAGAGAGCTGCCAGCCTCCATTTACCCCCACATACATTCTAGTAAGTCCTCACATTATAATGCTTCTGTATTTTCGCCTGGAATTTTAAAAATGAGTGAGTTAGAAATGAAAATACCAATTGAACAAATACAAGCTACTCACTTTACTTCCTCATGACTTTTTAAAAAATCTCTCTGAAAAATTGCTGAATTTCCTGAGTTCAATTATTATCTGTAATATGTTTCAAAAATCAACATTTACTCCTCTAATAAAGTAGCCATTCCTATATTTTAAAAGTGCAGTGGTGCCACCCACCTTTCCAGCTCTCCACAGTTATAACTCTTCTTTCCTTATAAACACATGGAATTATATTTCACATCCATTGTAGCTCATGTGTGCATTCACACACGTAGGGGAAAGAGATGTAGAATGATGCTTGCTGATAGGCCACCACCAGCTTAGTTGAAGAATTAACACAGTGGATTCATAACCTTATCAAAATGACTACAATGCAGACCTTTTAGACTGAGTCTCCCTTTTGTGAAAGACAATGTCTGGGAGAGGAAAATCAAGCACTGTATACTGTTCATCAAGAAAAAAAGAGAGTGTGTGTGGGGAGAAAGATGTGCTTGGTTCTATTAATTTGCTCTTTAATCTCTCTGATTCAGTTCTGTCTCCTGTAAACCAAACAGAGAATCAATTTGCATACAAATGTTACAAAGTACCCAACCTCCATACATTTTGTAGTTCTATTAAATAGGCAGGGGAGAAAGGATCTGATATTATTAATAGAATACTTCCTGCCCTTTCCCCCATAAAGTAACCACATTTTGATACGTTTCGTAAGGTCCTGGATTGTTGTACTTTTTCATTCTATCTGACTCTCTGACTATTTGCATTCTGATCTGTGGTCAGGACTCTGTGGCCTACAAAATAATTATTTGAACTGGAGATTAGAAGCTTTAGCATTGGGTGTCTCAGAGAAGGGGGCATGCCTTTTCTTCATCTCAGGAGAAAGACATGAAAAGAGGCTGAAATACAGAAACTTACTATTTAAGGGGAGGTGTCATTCATTTAATAAACCAGCCAAGAGATTACTCAAACCAGCAATTCCTATGAAGTGTAATAAAACAAAAATTATTTGCTGTTTTATGTTGGGAGAGGATAATATTTGGTGACCACTTGTTTTTAAAAACAATTTGGAGTGGGTTTTTCAAATGACTGTTAATCCAATGCCACAGTAAAATATGAGAGGCAGGCATCTAAAATGAGGAAGATTAATGATCCCTGCACGTCATGGAAGAAGAAGAATTTTTTTCAATTCATATAAGTGGAATTTTTCATAGCCATCTCTGAAGGTGGTATGATTCACCCACTTACAAAAGGACTGTCTGTTTCAATCCTTCTTGAAGAGGTGATTTTTCACTTTTCACTTCTACTAACATAAGAATGCCAAGCCTTCAGGCAGAAAATTTTAACCTGAGAGACAGTGGATGGGAGAACTCAGCTGTTGAGTCAAATATAAGCACAAATTAAAGAACAAAACAAATGAGGATTGCTCATGAGTTCAGGATCTGCAGCTAACAGAGTTTGGAAAGGTGGGTTGGGGAAAGAGGCAGTCAAAGTTTCAAAAGGGAAATGTTTCCCAGTATGTTCCTGAATAGATCCACTCTGCACCCAAGTTCAGGGCTTTACACACTGAGGTTATAATACTATTGTTTCCAAGCACTCAGCCTTAGTAACCTCCCTCCCTCCTCGCAGAGAAAGAAAACAACAGCAAAAAAGGAGAGAAAATGAAATGCTCTGTGTCCAGCGAGTTTGAGTGCAACCTTCCCCGTCACCACTAGTTGTCACTTGGCTCCCAGACGGGAAAGCTGAGGTTTTCGGCACTGCGGTTAGGGAGAATGCAGTCCTAATTAAACTGAGTAACTCCTAAAGCTTCCCCTTAAAGTCCTCAGCCGAGTGAAAGCCAACATGCAGTGGGGCTGGGGACCAATGGTGGGGGGTGTAGCAGACAGAAGGACAAACAAACCGTAAGAAACAGGCAAACAGCTGCCAGAACAGCGACTGTCTCAGACCTCCACGCACAAGCCAGACACCCTGCGGGCGGGGGTGGGGGGAGGTGGCGGGGGGGCGGGAGGGGGGAGAAGGGAGACGGGGGATGGAAGGACCCGATTGCAGTGGAATACAGCACCCCTCTTCCCCAAAATGATGGGACCACGGACAAAGGTAGCCTCTGTACTCTTTCCCCCCATTTCCATCACAGCGATGTGGTCAGTAGAAAATTGCATACCTGAAGAATACAATGGTCTCCCAAAGGTAGAGTCGAAGAGTATTGAAGCTGTACATTTTTCAGGTCCTTGTGCTTTGTAGTCCACGAGTTATGGGGGCAAAAATGTTTCAAATTGGCACTTACAAAACCAGAAAGCGCTATTGAAAAAAATAATCCAGATGTTAAGGGGAGGCGGGGAACAGGGGCTCGGAGGGAGAGCCCCAGGGGAAGTCGGAGCGAGGGGGCTGTGGATACCACGGACAGCGGCTGCTGCGAGGCGTTTCAGCACCACGGAGAGCGTCCAGCCCTGCTTTTCAGGAGCGCGAAGAGTATTGCTGTTTGTTAAACTCCAGCGTGTCTGTTGGCTCCCTGCGGCGCTGGGGAGGCACGTTTGGGGGTGGGTATATTTCCTTTTTTTTTTTTTTTTTTTTTACCCCTGTTTTTCTGTTTAAACGGCCAGCTCCATGCAAGGAAAAAAATCTTCTGTGGAGATCAGAACGTTGGCCTCGGACCGTTGGATTGGGCAAGCATCTTGGGTAAAGAGAACAGAGCTGTATGGCTCTGGGCCGGCTGAGGGGGTTAGAGGCGAGGGGAAAGCGGTTGACGGTGCTGCCTTCAGTTAAATCTCGGAGAGTATGCCAGGCTGGCGCATCGCAATCCAGTCTCGGAATCTCATTCCCCTGCCCCGGTGCTATTCTGCTGTCGCCTTGCTATTCCTGTTTCCTGGTCCCCGGTCCCCGCCGAATAAGTTATGATCACTGCAGAAAAGGTGTCCCATTGCTTGGGGCCGCAGGCGTCAGAGAGCCCGGGGCAAGTTTCAGGGGCTACCGGGGTCCATGGCTACCCCGCGGGGCTCAGGAGCCCAATGTCTCAGATGCATCTCGGTTTTCTGAGCTCGCTCATCTTTCCTTGGTCAAGGCTCCTACAGATCTTCAGACTTTCTTACTGCATTAATTTAACAAACTGGAGGCGTGGGGGATGGGAGCGGAGACAGCCGATGGGAGGGGGTTGAGAGGATAAAAAAAGGGGGGAAACTCCTTAGTATCTTCAAACCCTCCCACTCGAGGTGTTCATTGGCCCGCGGCTACGAAAACCAGATCTTCTCCCGGTATTCGGCCAATAGCCTGTTAGACTCCGGGTTGAATTTAACGCTTGGAGTGCTGGACGAGATCTGCGCAATCCCCCTCCTACCCCCAAGCTTCTTTCCGTGTAAGCGGTAGGGTAAGAGAGGTTATGGAATTAATCACTCTAGGTCTCTCAAAAGGTTGCCTTGATTTTTAAAGAATTCAGTTGCATGTGAGTAAAACACATGGTTCCTAGTTAAGACGTGCTCTGGGCTCAATTTATCCTTTTAAAAAGGAAGAGTTGAAGCAGATCCCTGATTTTTTAAAAAGAGCTCTGAAGTTATAATATTTGGCCCCAGAAAGAAAGGAGGAATATCCAAAAAGAAGTCTGGTGGATAAAGACCCCCTCAAGGGTCACCGCAGCAGGGAAATACGAGAGAAATTCTTTGAGCAGTTTCCAGGGTTGAGTGGGAGGTGTTGTGGCTGGCACCCTTTTGAGAGGGAATAAAAACACCTTATTCCAACTGGACAGGAGACAGTTTTATTTGCCTTTTATTTGCTGGGGAAACTGAGCCTCACAGAGCTGTGGCTTGCTCCAAATTGATGGCAGAGCCAAGTTGTACACACAGAGATTGTGTTATGACTCACATTCCCTGTTTTTTCTTCCGCTGTTTTCCCACCTTATTTGAATCTTAGAAGCCAGCTATACATTTCACTCTAAAGCCCATCTGGGGAGATGGAGTTAATCAGATTTTCTCCAAGCTATGGGACTACAGGATAAATACTTTAAAGGATTTTCTGGCTGATTTGAACTCACTGGCACTCTGGGGACTCTCCCTCCCAAGGCTACTGAGAGAGGACAACCCCTTCTCCTTATCCAATAACGTTAGAAACTCCTTTGGTTGGTCTCCCAAGAGTACTCATCAGCTCAGTTCCCTCCAGGGCTAGGCCTTCTCCCAAGCAAAAACTTCTGGAAAGTCTTGTTTACTAGCCTCCTACCAGCAGGATTTTCCCTCCCCTCCCCCTGCACTACAATAGCACATCCCACACTACCGGTTCTGTTATTGGCTCCCACAATCTAGAATTTCCATGATATTCTGAGTAGTGACTGAAAAGGAAATTTTGTTTTGAAGGTGTATATTAATATGAGTTGTATACAAATTTAAATATAATAAATAATATATGTATTTTTATATATATAATCAAGAGCTAACCTTTATTAGCATGGTTTCTGTGTGTCAAGAGCTACTGTGAATTCACATAATCTCATTTACTTTTCACAGTCAGACCTTGAGGTAAATATTATCTTTGTGTATGTGTTTTTGTACATTTGTGAGTATGCTTGGGCAAAACCAGCTTGTATGTTACTGTATATATAAATTTATTTATGATTTGTATCATGCCTAATTCTGAAGTGATTTTGATATGCATATGTGTATTTGTACATTTGTGTTTGTAAATGGGTCTTTCTCCACATATACATAGATGTGTATGTATCTATGTGTGTCTTTGTGGTGCTCCTAGAAATACTGAAACAAGCTGTAAGCTGGCAATTTTGTCCTTGTCCCTCATCTGACTATGAAATACCTGCAAAGCCAGGTGTGATGCAGCATGTGGAAATTTGTTTTTCTTTTCCTTCAAGGGGTGCTGTGCATGTGTGGCTGTTCATGAGTGTGAGTGGCTCCAAGGCTGTGGCCTGTGCAGGAAGTGAGAGTAATTATTACCTGGGGTGGTTGAGGGGCACCTGTTTGTTAATAGGCCTCTGTTTACTATGAGGCTGATACTTTCATTTAATCAGCACATATGAAAGGAGCATGTGCCAAGTATTGGGGATATGACAGTATATAAGATAAACAGTACAGTATATACTGATAGTGTATAAAATAAACTGTAAATAAGATAAACTTTTGGAATATGCAGTTGCTTCAGAAGTTCAGTGGGAAGAGTCCCTCAGGTTAGTTAATCTACACTTTTTACCCTACACATCACACACATCACATATTTATGCCAGGACAGATCTTTTTGTTCTCGTATAGGTCACTATTGAAAATAAATAACTGTGGGCTTGGCAGTCAGGGATTTATGTCCTTATTTTATCTCTTCCTCAAAAGGTTGGATAGGTTGGATAAATGACTAAACTTCTCTAGGCCTAAGTGAAATGAGGGTAGTAATGACACTTTTCTCATTGCAAGAAACTGCATGGAATAAATATTTAAGTCTAATCTTATTGTAGCTTACCATGCTATGAAACAAAAATCTTCAAGGAATGGAATGGATTGGCTTCAGCTAATGATTCATTTCTATTGGTAACTTTTCTGTGTTGTCTGACTCCAGTGTAGTTCTAATACTTGACTGGTGTCTTATAGGTCCTAGTAGCTGGATTTGAACCCTACTAAGTATGAATAAATTTTGACACACAGTGAAACTTATTTTATTACTAGAAAAGGTTCATTATGTTATTCATTCAACAAATGTTTTTTGAGCATTTACTGTGTATCTGGTACTATTTTTGGCACTGGGGATATAGCAGGGAACAACACAAGCCAAAAGCCCTATTCTAATGTTATGCATCTTCTGTTGGAGGGAGACAGAAGACAAACAAGGAAATATATGGTGAGTTAGGTAGTCATAAGAATTAAAAAGAAAAAGGCAGGTCAGAGAGTGGCATGGAGGTTCTATTTTATGTAAGGTGATCAGATCAGAGAATGGCTCCTGAAAAGGCATTTATGTAATTGAAGGAAGTGAAGGAATGAGTCATGTGAACCTTGGGGGACGGTGGAGGTAAGGAAAGCTTTCTAAGAAGTGGGAAAAGCAAATGCAAAAGCCCCAAGAGGGGAGTATATTTGCAGTGTACAAGAAACAGCATGGAGACCAGTGTGCCTGGACAGAGTGAGTGCAGGGAATAGTGGTAGAAGATGAGATTAGAGAGGAAGTTGGGGACAAGAGCAGGTACTACCTCCAAGAACAGATTTCAGGGATGGCAGGAGCAAAATGAAAGCAGAGAGACTAGTTAGGAGCTACTGAAAACGTCCACGTGAGAAATTCCTTAGGATAGTCTTGTTCAACACTTTCGTGTACAGAAGAGGAAAATTATATACAGAGAGGTTAATAGACTTACCCCTTAGACTCATAGCACAGCTGGGACAAGAACACAAGTACCCTAATTATAGCTAAAGGGTGTTTCAACTATTTTTTTTGTTTATTTCAGCTAAGATAAAGGGCATGCAGAAAGAAAGGAAAGTCTGTGAGGGAAGAGACTTTACCTGTTTTTGTTACTGACATATACTGATATATATCACATATCGGTATCAGATACTAAATAATATAGTGTCTGGCACATACGAGGGGCTCAGTAAATATTTATTGCAAGGATAAATGAGTGAATAAACAAAAGAACAAAAAAATTCAGGCAGAGGACACAAATACAGGAGAAAGAGAGTAAGGAATATTGTTAATCAGGTGAGATTATGTTGTCCTGAGCCAGCTAATGTAATTAATATAATGCCAAGCCTCTGTCCATAATGACATTCACAGAGGAGAGTGCTGTATGTTTCAACACTGCTTTGATAGACCTGAATGATACTTTGCAAAGAGAGATATTTGGAACAACTGAGCAGCTTACCTAATTGTGTTGTAGTATGATGAATAAAGGCCTGAAAATGGTACTGTGGAAGAGTCTTTTCTCCAAAGAATTAGAGGCTTGCTGCCAGCTGTTTCTAATCCTAATCCAGAGTGCTCTTGTTACTTTTTTTTTTGCAAAGCAATTATCTGTTCTTTATGCTTTAAAGAAGGGACCCCAGAACTACTTAGGGGATCTCAGTGACACCAGAAGAATTTTAGTTGTAAAGAATAGATGCATAAAATACGAAGAGACCCTTCCTCCCATTTTACTAGCTACTCAGGGTCCAGGAAAGGGGAATGACTGGCTTAAGATATCACAACAAAACTGAATCTAGATTGGAGGACTCTTAATCTTTCAGGTCATGGTTCCCTACCTTTTTTTCTGTGATACCTAAAATAAAAGAAGAGGAGGTACGATCTGTGATGAAAAATGCTTCATATCAAAGCTGACCTGCTCAGAGACCAGAGACTCCCCAGTTTTCTTTTGTAGTCAAGCCTATACTTGTACTTGGTGCTCTAACAGCTTACTGTTCGTAAGAGACTTTTAGCGATCTCCCTGTGCTTCATTTCCATCTTTCTCTCAAACTATCTCTGCCTCTTTTTTCTACTTTCTTCTCATCTGCCCTTACATGTTATTTTATCTTTATTCAGTTAGTTTTTCTTTCTTTCTCTCTTTTTTTTTTTCTGAGATGGAGTTTCGCTCTTGTTTCCCAGGCTGGAGTGCAGTGGCGTGGTCTCTGCTCACTGCAACCTCCACCTACAAGGTTCAGGCGATTCTCCTGCCTCCAAGTAGCTGGGATTATAGATGTGCACCGCCTTGCCTGGCTAATTTTGTATTTTTAGTAGAGATGGGATTTCAACATGTTGGCCAGGCTAGTCTCGAATTCCTGACCTCAGGTGATCTGCCTGCCTTGGCCTCCCGAAGTGTTGGGATTACGGTGTGAGCCATTGCATCCAGCCCAGTCAGATTTTTCTCATTGGGTCTCTCATCTCCTACTGTGTCCACAAAGACTTTTGTGATTAAGAAGGCTTGACACAGGACACACTTTTACTGAGTTTGTTCATTCACTCAAAGCCTTGTTCATTTATTTAAAAAACACATATATCTTGAACACTGGTTGTGTGTCTGACACTGTGCTGAAGTTTTGCATGTCTAAATAAAGATTTGTTCATTCATTTTAAAATAAATATTTATTAAGTACTGTCTGTGTGTTAGGAACTTTGGAAAATGGTAGCACAAGAAAAGCATAATCAGTGTCATTGGAAGGAAGGAGGTGATAAAGGAGATTCCTGTACTGCATACTTAAAAACCCTTTAATATTGAAATACACATAAATACATACATTTTGATAAATTATTTACAAAATGAGCACTCACATAGA